GGTGATGGAGCACCCCATTTGCCAACAAAAGACTTGTTGATCAGCTTGAGCATGGGGTACATAAGGCCATTGTCCTTTGGGATGGCTGGTCAATGCCCCAGAATGTTGCAAAAATCAATCGCACCTGCCTGCTTGTGTTTTGGCCTGTCTTCCCCTACTTAGTCCCACAATGAAGGCCATCTTGTTATTGCTGAATAAAATAATTTTATTGCAGAAGTGCTGTCTGTTTTTGCTGACCTCACAAAAGTATTCAGCTGCCTGGTCCTACATTAACAGGAGAGGGCTATGGCAAAATCTTGTTTGCAACCTTGATTACATGTTGTCTTGAACAAAGACTTGATGCATCGGAGCATCTGTTGCTTCTTATTTCTGGACCAAACAAAGGCTGTGCAAACACCCTGGGGTTACTTGTTGAAAAAACAGTGGTCATCTATTTAATGCAGCTAGACAGAGTTCAACACCTCCTCCTACTCCCCGCTGATGACAGAGAGGGGCCAGATGGAGAATCAGGATGAAGTGCGTGAGGAATGGGAAGTGGAAAATGGAGAACAATGCAGTGAAGATTCCACTGACATGGAGAATCTGGAGGACATGGGTGAGCAGGAGGAGGAAGTGGTGACAGTGCTGCTGACTGAACTACTGCTGGCCTTGAGAGTAATACAAGACAATAAGATAAGAATGATAGGGTATTCAGCATTAGCATGTATCCAAGCTTTCCTAGCATTGTGAAAAAGAAAACGGAGATGTACCGAGGAGTGGGAAAACCAAGAGGCATGTGAAATAGTGGGAGATGACAGGGCTGTGGTGAGAAACCTCAGGAGCAGCATCCACATGGTCTGGGCCCATGAGAGCAGCTCGGACTGGTGGGAGTGAATTGTGCTGACCGCTTGGAATGACCAGCGGTGGCTGGAGACGAATGACCAGGGAGACGTTTTATCATATCGTCTCAATGCTGGGGCCCCAGATTGCGAGGCAGGACGCTAATGTGTGTTGGGCCATCCCACTAAGCAAGAGAGTGGCAATGGCTATCGTGAAACTGGCCACCCTGTCCAGCCTCTGCTACATTGCGAACCAGTTCGGCATGGTTCCCTGCATGGCTGGGTTGGCAACTTGCAAGGTATGCCAGCTGTTGCAGGATGTTGCTGCATACAGATTTATCTGCCTGGGGAGTCCACAAGAAGTCATAGATTGCTTCAATGATCTGGGGTTCCCTAACTGCATGGGGGCTTTAGACAGCACTCACATCCCAGTCCTGTGCCCAGGGAGGGGGAGGTCTTTCACAAACAGGGAAGGGTTTGCCTCCGTGATCCTGCAAGCTGTGGTGTACTACTGGGGCTGGTTCACAAACATTTTTACATGGTAGGCTGGCAGTGCTCACAACACATGCATGTTCAGAAACTCACCACTCCCTGGCCTTGTGGGGAAAGGACATTATGCATCTGGAGTCCACAAGACAGTGATCTGTGGTGCTGCTGTCCCCCCTCTGGTTATATTAACGGACACTGCCTACCCCCTAAAGCCCTGGCTTATGAAGCCTTATGGAGGGAACGTTATGAACCCACAGAAGCTGGTTTTCAACAACCGTCTGAGTAGTTGCAGGATGGCCATTGAACGTGCGTTTGGACAACTGAAAGGATGATGGAGGGCACTTACATGCCGGCTCGAGCTGGAGCCAGAAAATATCATGGCCTTTGTAGTGGCAGCTTGTGTGCTGCACAACATCTGTGAGACCTGCAGAGAGGTTTTCAGCCAGGCGTGGGCTGAAGAAGCATGACAGTCGGTGGCCAGACAGAGACATGGCCAGACAGCAGTGCAGGGACCAAGGCGATATGCACAAGGAGAAACTGGTCGGGCGGCCCTTGTGCGGGATTGTCTGGCAGCACATATTGCTGACAGCAACTAGCAGTGCTTATTCCTTCTTTTGATTACAATAAATTCTTCTACAATTTATTTTTTTATAATAAATTCTTTTACAACCTGTGTCTGTCTGCAGGGGTGTGCAGTGTAGTGGATGGGGGGGTGGAGGGGAGGATGAGCTGGAAGGCTTAAGTATACCTCTCATGGGCTGGCTGGGGGCGGGGACAGCTGGTGGTGGGCAGGTGGATATGGGGTTGAGTGAACAGCCTGAAGTCCGCCTTAGGAGTGTGATTGAGGGAGGGGCATATTCCACTTCAAGCCCAACGACAACAACCCACCATTTCAAAAACATTTCACAACACCCCTCCAAAAGTCATATGTCGCATGGATTCAAGGTGGACCGTGGGCAGGGAAGGGGAGTGGGGGAAGCAGCATGCATCCCCATGGAAACTGTTCCAAGCCCTGGCAGCTTGGGAATACTGGGAAATGTAGTCCTAAAAAGGTCAGAAAAGTAATAGCTCACCACCACCATCAGCCTCAGTCACCAACTGTGGAAGCAACACCCACCCACCTGCCTGCTAATCTCTACCCCATACACTTCTGATATCATATCAGTTATTTATATAGTAAAAAAAGAAAATTCATATAATAAATTCTCATTACTTTGTAACATTGGGGGAAGGGAAAGGGACAGGAGGGGATGATTCACAGAGCTTGTCGTTGGGATCACCATGGGGGTCACCTACTGGGAGACTGGCCTGAGCCTAGGGTTTGCAGGTGACCGTGTCCATGAGTGGGTGGGTGGAATTAGCAGGAGACTCCCGGTGAGCACAGGGGGCAGGGACTGTGGAGGCTGGCTTACATGTGCCTCCTGCTGTAATTCATTAGGAAAGACATTACTGGGGATAGATTGGTATTTTGCCTCCCCCTGCTGGAATCTGTGGGGAATGACACACGAGGCTTAACTCACTTGAAAGAGCATGGTGTGCAAACACAAATGCACCGCACCACAATAACCCAGGTTAAAATTATTCAGGCACGGTAAATTAATGAGGATCATTGTCAATATCATGGGTCTTCTGAACAGATTCGATTTGAAGCTTCAAGGCCATGAGAAGTTTGCTTTGGCTCGTTTTGACAGTGTTAAGCCCCTGAAAGAAAATTAAAATAACTGCAGAAGCAATTTAAGGAAGGCAGCGCTGCTCGGTTTGCAGCATACAGAGTTATCTTGGGTGAAGAACCCAGTGCAATGGAAGTTTTACATTCAGAAAAGTATTTCCAAATCATTCAGCATTTGTTGGATGAATTCAGCTGGCACTCTGGATTCTAAATCTCACAGGCAGGTACTGGCTGTTTTTTAAATCCAATACTGTACCAGAAAGTGCTTTTACAGACATGCAGTTAGAATTAATTGACTTGCAAGAGAGTACATAAATACACAAACATTTGACCATGAACTCAGGCTGACTGAGTTCTCTAAAGGACTCTAACTGCCCTGCCATATGTAAACATGGATGACACATGGCTTTTCTTTTTGGAATCACATACATATATAAGAAAACCTTCTCTACATTGAATATAAGTAAGTCTAAGTTACGATCCAGGCTGACAGGTGGTTATTTTCATGCAGCTCACTGTATTGCAACATCAAGCATTGAACCAAGATTCCAATGCGTGATGTCTGACATGTCAGCTGCATTAAATCTCAGTCAACTAGAATTTCACTCTTTTCCTGTGCAATGTATTTGTATATCATTTCTATCATGTATATCATGATATATCATATCTTTTATTTAATTTTTTAATACTCAGCAACATAATTCCAGTTATTAAATGTACAGTTTCATTTGTTATTATTGGGTAAATCTATACTTCTGTGTAACAGTAAAAGAAAGAAATAAAAATAACATTAATACATAAAAAATGTTATTGTGTGTGTGTTTTTTTTTTCCTGAACAGAAATGTAAAATTGAAAGAAATTGTCAGTATTCAACCTGTCACCTGGGACTGCCTTTCTGAAATGGCTATTCAGGGGCAAACATTTGGGAACCTTTGCTTTTGAGTATCTCACTGTAGTCCTTTACTTCCGGGTGGGGGGGGGGGGGGGGGGGGGGGTCAAACATATAGCCTGCAGACTGAATCTGAGCCATGAAACCAGGTGATCTGGCCTGTGGGTCTGGAAATGACTCAGTGTGCAGAGCTAGTCTGGCATGCAGACTTGACCTGGCATCGTGGGTGCTGCACTCAGCAGAGGGGATAAGTCCAGGGCACATATTGCAGACCCCCAGTGCTGCATATGCACTTCCCATGGCCCCACGTGCTGTGTGTAGCACATGCTGGCTTCACTACTGGGACTTGCTCTGTATGTGGTACAGGGGCTGCTATAGGTTGCATACTGCATGCAGCGCCTCACTGGACAAGCTCTGTATGCTGACTAGTGGATGCTGCCAATCTGGCCCACAGACTATCCTGCCCTTCATCTGGCCCAAGAGGCTGGATGATTTTAACACCCCTGTTCTATGACTTTTGCTTGCATAGGTGTTAATATTATTGTTGGCTAAACATCAGTAGATGATTATAGGTGAAGCCCTATTGAAGTCAATGGAAATAAGTCAATTTATGTCCATGACCAGCTGGCCTACAACAGTGGAGTCTTCTTCCTGACGTACCATGTATTTAAAAAAGATGGTATCTGGAAAATCATGATATAACTGACCTCTCAAAGTGGAAAGGGTTCCTTTGACATTTAAGGACCTGGTCTTATTGAGCAAAAGGTGATGAACAGCTGCAAGTCTCAATGGCAGTTGAGAGTGCCTAATACCATGCAAAAATGAGCATCTTTGGAGCAGCTCCTAATGACATCAAAGGACTGATTTCAGTAGGAGCAGCTTTAGGCTGATAGGACCTTGATTATCCATTGACTTGAGTTTGTGCATCCATTTACAGCTGTGCCAAGCAAGTAGAGAGTTCTGACCTGGCAGCTTTTCATATCCTACTTTGTACACTTGTAGCCACTGCAGAATCACACCCTTAGAAAAAACAAGCAAAGATGGGTGAAATGGAGCTTCACATTTGGCACATGAGGGTACTCCTGGTTAAGCCTCAGCTTTTAACTCCCATGCTACTTTCTTATGCAGGTACCACCATTGCCCGCACCTCACAAGGATCTATGACAGCAGTGAGAAGCCATGCTGCCTGTCAGAGTACATGGAGAAATATCCCCTTTACCCAACAACCCATCTCAGAGATTCATTCAAGCCCAAGGGAGAATACAAGAGGCTACCAGTGCCTATGGAAGGCACCTCAACTACAAAGTAAGAAATGGTAAAAGGGAGGGAAAATTGTAGGGCTGGGACAGTGAGTGCATGTATGTGGGGAGTTGGGGTTGAGGGGAGGAGAGTCATCACTACTTCCCATGTGTCCTCAGGCTCCGGCATCAAAAACCCTCTGCTTGCCTGAGTGGCATCTAATTAGAAGCATTAAAAGGTGTCAGTGAATGTTGATTTTCAATTGCAGCTTCTCTCATTGAGGGGAATGTATTATTAGTTTGGGGTCTACTTTTCTCCTCCTGCTCCTCTCTCTCTCTCTCTCTTTCTTGTGTTGATGTTTCTTGTTCTCCTTTATGCTCTGGCTTTTTGGTTACTTCCCAAAGACATATGAAGAGGCTTGGTTACTTTCATTGATGAAGCAGGAACACCTGGACTAAGTCCAGACAGTCAAAATGCATGAGTCTGAATCAAGTCAGTCTTCATAGGTTAGTCTGACCTGTGTAGATTGAACAGATAAGCAAGTGAATAGACCTTCACTTTTGATTCCAGAAATGCAGCCACATGCCTACAGGGACATAGATTTCCTAGAATGAGACCATGATATTCACTGGTTATATTTTTCCTTGGTGTAAGTCCATTGTATAAACTCTGGGTTCACTGGGTATCAAAATCATGTTGAATATTAGTGGGATGTAGGTGATTACCCATTAGGCTCTATTGAATATTTGTAGCCATAAAGAAATTACTCTTCATGATTGTTATGGAGTGAGGGCTCATGAAATGTCTGTTACAAAGCTGACCCAACTCTACTAGTATATCTCATTCCCAACCTAAACAAGCCTATTACCTCTGATAACATAAACCTTACCTTTAACATAGGCCTTTGAATTGTGTAGTACATTTTCCTAGAATGAGACCATGATATTCACTGGTTATATTTTTCCTTGGTGTAAGTCCATTGTATAAACTCTGGGTTCACTGGGTTCAGACAAGGTGGAATTTGGTCCACTTAAGGTAGCCCAGAGCTAAATCAGCCTCTTTCTCATACATAATTTCAGAACTAATGAAGCCCAAGTTTCTACAAGGGAAGGCTTGTGCATTTCATTAGCCACCTGTATCTTATTCAAACTTTCTGGGGGTGAAGTGTTCATTTCTTTGTGTGTCCAGCAGAAGGAACATAAACTTTATCCTTAGTACAAAGACATAAGTATGATGTATTGACATTATTGTTCACAGGAGAGACTATGTAGCTCATGAAGTGTTGCCAGTGAAATGCAAGCCACCTGAAAAGTATGTCAAGAGTGATGATAATATGGATTTGACCTCCACATATACACAAGACTATAATCCCTACCCTATTTGCCGAGTACCTCCGTGCTTACTCCGTGAGACTAAGTATACCTCCAGTGACAAGATGAATACTATACCTACCTACAAAGGTATGCAAACACACACCCTAGCAGCTAGTTTGTAAAAGGGGGCTTCAGTAATAACAGCTTTCTTGAAGAAGCCTTAACAAGAATACAGTGTCTTGAGCATTTGTTATTCCTTATATCCCCATCTCTAATAGGTAGCTCCTATAGAAGCTATAACCACAAAATAATTACTAGAGACCTGAAGAAGAATACATTGCATTCAGAAGCTTGTTTAAGACTATCTCAACCATGCAGTTGGTCCAATAAAAATATCATCCAAGGAAATTCTTTCCTACTGGGAATGCATCTGGGTTGGATATAGACTAAAGACAACATTGTAAATTATTTCTAATTATCTGTCTCCTTCAGGTTGGCCAGATTTATTTCTGGGTTGTCCAGCTATGTGAAAGTCTTTCCCCCCTCTTCTTGCCAACTGCCTAGAAAGCCTCAGAGCCTTCATTGGGCCTTTTGTCACTGCCCCAAACATGGGCTACAACAGGAAGCTGAAGAGCAATGCAAGTTGCCACATGTCAGGTGTGGTGCATTTTTATTGCTCTGATCCCCTGTTGTCCAGCTGCTAGTTGCTTCCAGTTTAGCAGAGCAGATAAACCAGTGGCTGACCATCTAGGGCTGTTCTTTAACATAGAGGCCAAATTTTGTTCCAGATAGACTGGTGTGAATCCAGAATCATGGCAATTTAGTGAATTAATGGACTAATTTAATTTTAAAAAATCTTTCTTGGGAAAAAAAAGAGAAAAAAATCACTGTTTAAGGTGGAGAACTTCTCCTGGAGGCCAGAATTTCTGTGGTACTCATTATATTGCAGCAAAAAAGATGTATTGTATTTACTCGAATAGAAGATGACCCTGATTATAAGACACTCCCCAATAATTAACTTCTATATATGGAAAAATTATAAATTTACTATAATTTTCCATGTATAGAATTTAATTATTGGAGGCTTCCCTTAAATTTGTCCCCTTCCCATGGCTACAGCAGGGAAAATTAATCTAAGGGGTTAGGTAGACTTTTGCTTTCCCCCCAGGTTTTTTTTTTACCTGGCAGCCCCTTCTCCCTTTCCTTACTGTCTGACCCTGCTCTCTCCAGGCATTTATACACATACTTTGTCTGCTTTGACACACTGGAAATCCAGTGCGTTGGAGCAGACTCAATTAATCGAGTCTGAGGAACATGAAAACTGACATGCCTAGCTAATGTGTCACATGCGTTTGTAAAAACAGTGAAATGCTCGTCAGCACTGAGAAAACGGGAGCAGCGTGCTTTTAAATTAAAACACCTTCAATGTGTTTTAGTTCAAAAGTGCACTGCTGTCATTCTGTAAGTGCTGACTCTGCGCATTTTATCATTTATACAAATGCCTACACTGCAGCGCAGGGTGCTTTTAAAAGCGCTTGGTGCTGTGGTGCATGCATGTGTACAAATGCCCTCTGAGCACATAGAAGTGAGGAGCAAATTTGAAAACAATAACCTTGACATTAAATATGACTGTGGCAATTTGCTTATAGTATCCATGCATTTAATTTATCCAGAATTGATGCATGTTACCTTTTTTTTAAACTGCTGCAAGTTTTAGCACAGCTAACTAATTAGCTCTGCAGTAAACATTTTAGTGTCTACACATGTACCCCAATTAGGGTGCACAAAACTACCACAGCAGGGTAGTGCTTGTATTTGCAAATACAGATACTACTCTGCTGCAAAGTATTTTTCTGTGCAGCGGTGCACGTGGAGACACTGAGCTGTCTGGCTGGGGCACGAGGGTGCTTCAGTGTGGGAGCTGCCTGTCAGCTAGCCCTGCACTGAAGTTCCTTAGTGCCCCAGCCAGCCCCTTTGCAGGACATGGAGCTGGGGGGAGCTGCCTCAGGCTTGCAGGCTGACCCCCACAGCTCCCCAGCCAGCCGGGGCAACTCCAGCCAGACTCCACATGCTGCACATGAATAAGCTCCAGAGCTAAGGAGCTAAGCTGTGGAGTGAATTGCTCCTAGGCGCATGTTCAAATGGTGCTCCTGGGAGCAAAAACACCTGGAGCAATAAGCTCTGGAGTTTATTCATGTGCACTAACTGCACGTGTAGATGCGCTCACTAGGAACAAGTAATAGTGGTCTGCTAATGGCAGCCAGGGGTGCATCTATACAAGATGTTTACTGAACAGTTGACTGATTAACTGCACAGTAAATGTCACAGCATCTACAGGTGTGCCCCAATTAGGGCGCACAAAACTAATAAACTCCACAGAAGGATAGTACTTGTAAATACATGTACTACCCTGCTGCAAAGTTTTTTAGTTTCACTGTGGAGCAAAGCATGTAGATGCTGAGTACCCTCATGCCCCAGCCAGCCAACTCAGTGTTTACACATGTATTGCTGCACACAAATAAACTACCAGCTAGCCCCTCACTGAAGCTCCCTTGTGCCCCAGCCAGCCCCTCTGCAGCACACTGAGCCCAGTCAGAGCAGCCCTGGACTGACAGGCTGACCCCCTGTGCCCCCTGCCAGCCAGGTCTGCTGCAGCCCAGCTCAATGTGCTGCAATAAGCTCCACAGTTTATTGCTGCACACTAATGTCACATATAGATGCACCCAGTTGTTCTGCCACCCAGCATCTGGGTAAGTGTATTACTTTAAATCACTTGTGAATATTTTCATTTCAAAGCAAAATTATAAGTAGCCTAGGCATTCTGGCTGAATGCTAGGATGTTTGCTTTTCTTAAGCAGAAATAAGTTCTTTTCTTTTATGCATGGCTCATTGTAATTGCCAAAAGTGGAATTTATCTATACAAAATCGGGATATTTTTACACAAGTAAGTATCTGTTTAGAATGACCTGATTTGTTAATGCAAAGGGGGATAAAATATCTGCATTTATGCACCTTCAAAAAATTTAGCTTGTATGGGCTGGATCTTCAATTTTGTTGAAATCAACAGACCTATGCTGATTTACACTAGTTGAGAATCTGTCCTCATGTCTTTATAAATGCTTAGATTTTTAGTATCAGAATTATATGTAAATCTTTTTCTTGTGTCAGTGGTTAGGTCAGCACCTTGAGTGGTGTGTGAGAGCTCTAATAATATGTAGCATAGCCACATTTGGTTATAATCTGCAGTGTTTTTCAAAACACTGGCAAATGGAAGTCTCCATCTCAGCCCCTCCAAGACCTGGTCCCATATTGAGTCAATTTATTTTTAAAAGCCATATTTCACAAATCTGAAGGTTTTTCATGTGCACTTACCTAGTCTGCATCATGGCATTAAAAGTTTTTATTAATCACCTCTCAAGGTGCAAATCATATGGAATGTGCCATTCTGTGAGGTTTCAAATAATACTGCTTTGGCAATAAATGCCTTTTGTATGAAGTCGTAAAGCTATACAATCCAGTGCTGTATTGGGTTGTGGGTTTAAATAAATTGGCCAGATATCACAGTGAATGTCATACAGTGCTGCAAATTAATTTTTAACACTGTATGAACTATATATTCAGATTATCTTGTCTTACCTACACTTAACTGCTTGTATCTATCCATGGGTATGTAACCTAATTTTAGGGTTGTTTGGCTTGGTTATACTGAGATCTGCCTGAGCCTGTATAACATGTGGTTCATATCAAAGGTTCTCTTCCATATTCCCTAGTGGTTTCAAGATGGTGGTACATGGAAAACCATTAATATCTACTGGAGAAGAATTAGAGTTTCAATAAAATTGTAACATGTTTTGAGGAGATGATAGCATGTTGGCTTAAACTAAGTAAAATAAATTCATAATGTCTAGGATGACTCCAAATGTGTGGAGATGGTAAAAGTTTAAAATCAAAGAGACATGGAAGCTTTTGTTGTATTTCTAAAATTTTGTAAAACTCTTTATAGTATCTATGAATTGCATTGACTAGAGTATTACAAACAAGGCTGAGAAACTGAAAAACTGTGGGTTTCAGTGTGACTTTGATTTTCTAAGTACTTTAAGTGTCAGACCTTTTGAACCACCTGTGCTCTTTCTTGGAAACAGTCTTTCATGAGCAGGAGCAGGTGGCTAGTTTCTCACTTAATGAGCCCCTGCACCCTCTCATCCCAGGATCCAGCTTGGTCTATGCCTCCAGTTGGCCTTCATAGGTGTTCTACTTTTGAAAAATTATGTGACCTACTAATCTTTCAGTTTCATAGTAGCTAGGGTCAGGAGGGACCTGAACAGATCATCTAGCCTGACCC